CTGGCGCCTCACGCATAAACACGAGTCAGTTCGCATATTGGTCCGCTTGTCACTCTGAAGTATTCCTCACTTATTCCAACATATCTCGTGATATTCTTGATGTGAGTTTGAAGAACAAATTACATTGTTAGGCTTGTCCGTTAAAAGTGATGTCGCTTCACACCACACTACGTTACTCAGACAAAGTGGAACAGTAAGTAATGAGTGTAAATAGCGGTACAGTACAGTGCAGTGCAGTGCAGTGCGGTGCGGTGCAGTTCGGTGTGGTTTGGTGTGGTGTGGTATTGTGAAACTCACCTTCTCATTCGACAACGAAGTTCACTCAGGCGGTCACCGAAATTGTCTGTGCTCGTTCTCTCTTGAGACCAGAGTTGTTCAGCTATTGCAGCCGCGTGAGGCCTGTGTTGGAGAATGTATGAAAAGATATGAGATGAATTGTGAGATGTACGCATACACTATTGGTGATATATTCATCGGAATTATAGTAGGTGGAGTTATGTTGTATTGATGTCTCAGAGGAAATATACCTGATGTAGCGACAGGCACCTTATGCATTGAAGTGTTTTGAAACTGCGTAAACATCTTGAACATGTTCCTGGATATCACTCACTGTTCAAAGAGATATATATTTTACCTCAACTTCATAGCTGTGTTTGTGGATGCAAGTCATTGTTGCATGCTCATTTGTCTTCTGAAAATGTGCAAACTCAGCCCTCATCAATTCCACATGAATGCTTTTATGCGTAAAATGATGACTGTGGGTCACCGGAAGGTAATGTTGTGTGAGTGAGGCGAGTATGTGATTGATTGCTGAGGCTCATATTGTCCAGTGATGTCAACAACCTCATTCTCATACTAATTCTCTGAACGAATTCGAAGACGATGTGTCTCCCGCCTGTAGGCATATGAGTGATGAAGCTTAAACATGATGATTCGAATATGAAGAAAAACCATCATCACTTACCATGACACCAACATGAGATTTGAATCATCCACGTAGTCACCTGGAATCACACCTTCTCCTCCAATGACCAGTGCCAGTTCCGTTGGACTTCCTGAAATATTCGATACACACAGAAATCAATTAACACTGTTAAATCTGATGAAATGAACTCATCTGATTATCGCATGTTAGTTTGTCTTCATGACTGTTGTGTTTTCCACGCTGAACGAAATGGATATACATGTAGGAATTCCTCTCAGATGGGAATCGTCATTCTGTTTCGGCCACCAGTTTTGGTTAGAACTGATGAATGAGAGTGTAGATGGTTGAAGGGGCTGTCAGTCGATTTTATTGATATCGCCTAATTTCGTTTACGGCTAATTAGTACACACAGCTCACATGGATTACTACTATCATTATGTGTGATTCTCAATGATGCATGGATATTCATTGTTTGATATACGTCAGTGAACTTGTCGGTTGTCTTACTGACATGTGCAACTGAGAAATATCTATCTCTTTTTCGTGTTGTATTGCTGTGTTATCTAATTTGGAATGGCAGTTTGACAGTATTCTACAAGATGCACTGATCAGTGAACAGTGAACATTCTAATCGACCTAGTTCTCACTCAGCTGAGCTGAATGAAACTGGATGATGAATTACACGAAGTGGATGGAATGTGTAGATGTAACATCTACAATGAGGACTGGATACTTGACACGCTTATGCAACTACTGACAACGATTCGACAAAGGTTTCCCTGTGTGCAGTGGTTGGCATTGATATCATTCGAGACATCAAGTTTGAAATTACTCGGAGTTACCTTCGAAATCCAAGGGATCACACTCGTAGAACGCTCGCCAGTCGTCTCCGAGACTCACATCACTGAAATTCCAACACGACGATATGAGAACTTTGAATCCTGCTCTTGTGATCTCCTCAACACTCTTCTTCCATTCATCAGATTTGTATACTTGAAAAATGATGTCCTTGTCACTCTAAACACAGAAAAGTCGAAGAATTCATCATTCAGTTTGTCATTCAATCAGACAGTCAGTAACATGTTCAGTGTGTTGATGAGGAGAGAGGAGATTGATTCAGTCACTAATTAGTAGATGAGTGGACATCACACTGCAATACACAACTTGAGTGAAACATGGAGCAGTGATTGACATTCTGATTGATGGATGAATACATCAATGGATGGTGTAAATTTGTGTTTGTGTGCATTTCGGCTTTCTTGTGGAACATTGAAGAACATTCACTGGCAACCTGTCATGCAGTGGACGAGCATTTATCCTCTCTCCATCGATATAATACTAAGTCATTAGTAGTATTTTACAGTCACCTTTGTTTGTAAGTTATGTCTATCATATGGTTAGCGAAATATATGAATAAGTTCAGTCTAATGGATCCTTCTCATTTGGTGATTATCAATCAGCACTTGACTTTTCTCGAAACAAATCGGTTGAACAAATCGTCATACTACATCGATCATTGTGTATTAGGCCTGATTATTTTATTCTCTTGTTTGATTGCACTCTACCCACCTGCATGCTTATCATGTGTTTTCATCAAGCGATTTTCATTTGCTGGAGATTTGATTAACGTGACTGTCGGGAGACGACATCTCCCTGTTTGAGCGTATTGAGAGTTGATCGAGATGTATGTATCTATGTAATGCTGCCGCGACTAGTCAGTCAACTGAGAATTCGAATACTCTGTGATGGAGTATCAGTGTAGATGACTAAGTGTGTAGGTGAGAATAGAGACACGACCACAGCTGACCGACTTATTCGCTGTTGTCATTATATTGCTGATATCGGTCAGAGTGAGAGAATTTCTCCTGCTCATGACATCGTTATTAACACAACTCATTAACCGAATGTATACAAGCTGAATGTTATATAACTCCATATGAGTGTTGACTTACAGGAAATCCATCCTGATATACATCCTGCCAAACAATCGGAACCACTGGAAATCCCAACGATGCGGCCCTGACAATTTCTACAAGTTGTGTCATGTAGTAGTTCATCAACTTTGTATAGTCATTGTTGAATCCTTGCTCCTGCATGAATTTTGTGATGTCAGGATTGGACTGCCTGTAAAACGAGAATGGAATGAGGAGGTAATTTTATGTGTTTCGATGGGCTAGACGAATATGCAGATTTATGTGGAATGGAACCAGTGGAATCAAATCACACGACTTCACTTTGCTTGTCTCATGTGCTCACCTCACTTGACTGCTAACTTTACCCCATATTTCGATTCTTAGAAACATGCCTACCCTCCAGTGTATATATGTATATACCATCACACTGAATTGCATATACAATGCATCTTTCTCATATTCTCCTGATCACACTGCACACATTGCATCCATACTACATGCACCTGTATGATGCACTTGTCATTGAGCACATTGTGAGAATCATGTGATAAATGCATTAATTAAGTCAACCAATCAATGAAACAATGAATCAACCAAGCGATACAGGATGATAATAACAATAGCGAGAACTCACCAGCATGTGAAATCCACATCATTTCCGCCTAAATGAACGTGGTTGTCAGCAGAAAACACACGGCAAATTTCGTGGTACAAGTTCTGAATGAAGGTGAGATTGGTTGGATTGACAGGGCCGAGTATTTGATTTCCTTCGTCGTCTTGAGTATGACAAGGAGTGAGTACATGGGGATAGCCATTTCCCCATGACTGTGTATGTGCTGTGAGATGAGAGAGAGATTGAGAGGGAGAGATGAAGTATGGAATGTGAGTGACTGAGTATTGGGATATTGGGATATACTGTGGTGTAATCTTGAGTGATGCGTTCTGTTATGTCTCCTTATGAATAATGACGAATATGTGGTCTGCATATTCAGTATCTTGTTTGAGAGGCATTGCTTGATCTCACTGATGATGGGTGTCTGGTGTATATCACGTGTGTAGTGAATGTCTGTGACTCTTGCTTCATGGTGACATTGAATCTGTCTGGAATGTTTGTGATTTTCCTCACGTTTCCACACATATTCAAACCAGTGTTTTGCGTTGATTTCTCAGAGGAACAGATCAGTGGTGAGTAGATTCAGTGTGAATAGTAGTTATCAGGTTGGTGGTTATATTTCGGTAATCCAGGTCAGTGACATTTTATGGAGTCATCTGAATACGTTGGAAAATTTGTCAAAATTTTTCGTACATACGAATCACCCTTCTGAATTTATTATGTGATTGGCGTGTAGTCATTTTGTATGCTCCAGTAAAGCTATGAATGATCAGTTACATCAGACATCCACCAGGTAGACGAAATACTCTTTTCTCAGCTGGAGGTAATTCTCAGCCAGACAGAAACAGTTCAGCTTTGTTTGAGTACTGCTAATTCCTAGAGTCATTGACTCGATAATTCCAAATATGCTACAAATGATTCCCAACAATGGAGATATTGAAAGACCTTGAAATACGCCAAATGGTAGGCTGAATTCCGACCATCCTTGTCTTCCGTTTGCATAGTTCGTGAATTGTTTCAATACGGGTCCTGAAAACTTCAATGTCTGTAAATCACTGGGGTGGTCAAAATCACCCATCACAGTAATGTCTTCTTATTCACGATTGACGAATTTCAGGGTGTTGACTACTCTGTACCAACACAGAGACAATTTCAAATTAGTTGAATATCTCAGTACATACAATTGTGAGAATATCATGCTCACCTGGTGTATCGAACTCTGGAATTATTCGAATTCCACGAACACGTCCATACTCCAGTAGATCAACTATCTCATTATGCTGATACACATAGGCCTCAGGATGATATGCACCCTGCAGTTGTCGTGTGATTCAAGTTAGAAAGAGAATAATTCATCAATCTTACTCACCTTGTTTGACAGTTCAGGATACATGGAGGAGACATATGGGAATGATTCAGTGTCTGTGATGTGCCAGTGTAGAACATTCATTTTCACCATGGCCATTGCATCCTAAAACGTCCAAGTGTGTGTGAGTGTGTTAGTGTTTCACGCTCTGCCTCGAGTGGGGGGAGGTGAATGATGACTTACAATGAACTTGTGAATTTCTCCAATGGTGAGGAAATGTTTCGATGTGTCTATCATGAGTCCACGATGTGAGAATCGAGGTGAATCATCCAATGTGAATATTCGTATATTTCTCTAGTTTTGAAATAAACATTGTGTAAGAATATTTCAATGTCTTCTCTTCCTACCCCTTCCCATTCATCTTTGTATATATGTTGCAACACTGTTTCTAACCCACGTATAATTCCCCAGACTTCAGGAGCACTGATCATCAGATTTGCAACATAGAAAATATCCTCATCCATCTTTTGTTGCTGAAATGAAATGGAATCTTTCATACCATCATATTTTATGTGTGTGTAATAAAGGCAATCACTTACATGATTCGTCGGCTGAATCAGATGGCCGTAGCACTTCATTACTTTCATCACAGCTTGAAGTTATTACCAGCAATATCGGAAGTATAATACATTTATTAACTGGTGCTGTTGACGGTGGAAATTCTTCATGAACAAGTCGTTCCCGGAATCGTTTAACAGCTTCTTTCAATGTTATACATGACGGATAATTATCCACAATAGGTACAGACTTAAAAATTGTACAATATTTCTCTTCTGGACTATAATTCTTTGGGATGGGTATCAAAGCTTGAGAATGAGGAATTATCAAGCATATAAGCGTTAACAATATGCACTCAATCATTCTGACAGTCCAAGCAGATATATAATGAGAGCTATTAACAAGTTCACCTTAATCGCACCTTTAAGTTTAAATGTGCGCGCGTGTGTTTGTTTACCTACGTAATCTGATTGGCCGATTCCAAGAATAATAAAAAGGGTAGGGAATGGCAATTTAAAAGAGTTGTGCAGTCAATATCCACTGTTATATTTTGATGATCACGTGACTGTGAGTGTGAGACACATCGAGAATGGATGTACTCAGACATCTAATGAACTAGAGTCACGCACTTTCCGTGGTTTCGACATTACCTCATCCATTTGACTTCATGAATACAGACTGCAGTTCATAAGAGATTCCTTTGGCTCACTTGCACTGAGAAACTTTGCAGAAATCATCAAGGAAATGTTCAAAATTGGGAAATAAATAGAGTTAACTGCAGATTCAAATGAAGTATAGAACTTGGGCGGTGTGGTAGAATGTAATTCCCCAATATTAGATAAGTTTATTTCAAATATCACTCAGTGATGATGCAGTATGAATAATTGGATGACAAGGTTTCGATCAGAAATCATTGGCAGTCATAATCCCAACAGTTTAGTCATACGGTTTCATAGTTTGTCTTATATATTTTCCCTACTCCTCCTCGCTCTCTCTAAATTCCCCTTGTTGTTTGTTGCCACTTTCCATATCTCTGACATAGCCTCTTCGCCATTCCCATTGCAAGTGTTCGGTGTTGAATCGATAGACAAAAACGCACTCAGTGCATTGCAATGGCTGAGCTCTGTTTTTTCTAAGTTATTTAACTTAGCACGGTCAGTCATTCTAGGTCTAGGTAAATTTTTATGTTCCGATAATCGAATTGGCCTAGATCTACCAGCTTGGTTGACCTATGTAATTGACCTCACTAACAGTCATTACATGGTATTTCGTAAGTTATATTATTCTTCCTAATTGGATCTATTGGATCCTTAAGCCGACAAAGTTTCTCGCTGAGAGAGTTGGTTGGTTTAAGTGCCACCCTAATTCCAGCCTTATCGGGAATCCTACGTAAAGCCTCTAACGTTCCTTCTTCATACGGCTGTACTACAGAAGCTTTGAATTCTACGTGATTTTTGTGATTTTCGTCATTTCCCTTGCTAATCTTATTCTTTTTCTATGGTCTTTTATATATTTCTGAATAAATTCTGGTGGGTAGTGTGTTATTCACTAGTAAAATCTCCTTTATTTTTTTGATTTCATCATTTAAATCTTCTGGTTTACTATTTAGGCTCCTGGCCCAGTTACACAGGCATTTAACTAGACCTGTCCTCCTTCACGGATTCTGGATGGGATGAGTTAAAGTCTAGTCTGAGTGTTTGCTAGAGTGTGTTGGTTTCCTAGGAGTACCGGGCAGCCATTTCATCATCCTAATTTGGGACTCTTTAGCAGTATGCACCCAGGATAAAGGGTTCGAACCCATGACCTTCTGGTTACAAGGTGAGCTCGTAGACTATTGAGCCACTGGGATCTGATCCAATGGCCCATTAATTCTGGCTTCTGCCAATTCACGATATAGTGCAACCGCTAGCCAATGTCTTCAAACCGTAGAAGCTATGGTGATTCACATGTTAAATCTTGCACTCTGAATACAAAAGAAGTCTTGTTGAATCACCAAATCTACACTGGACCTAATCTGTCCTGACACTGGATACTTAATTTTTGTGTTTTGTTCCTTAATTGTGGCATTTTCTTCCCTCACACCCTGTTAAAATTCAACCCCTTGTTGTCCCCGTTATTAACCCAACTCTCGTTCAATTTTAGTTTAATTCTGCTCAGTTGAACTTTTGTTAAATAATATTGTCTTACAATACTTATCTTGTATTTAGAAACCTGCATTCCCTGTATATCCAGTCGCCTTACAACACTGTTGAGGTAAATTTCAGTTTTGATGTTATTATCATTGTTGTTTAGTAGAACTGCTAAAATATTGAAGACTAATCTCCCATTCCCTGCGTTTGGATGTCTCGAGATAACGCAGGATTGTGCAGTCTTTACAATAGAAGGTAGAGAGAGATTGGTTCTTTGCATTCACACTCTAACCGAATGGATTTGGTCACTACAGTTTTGTGCATCCTAATTAATCAGGAGGAATTCTTCATCTGCGAATTTTGACGCTGAAATATTTCGTATATTATATCCGACTTATATCAGACCTCATTTGGAATATGGGATCCAGGCAGCGAGCCCGTGTTTCAAATAAGAAAGAGACTTATTAGAAAGGGTGCAAAGAGTAGGAACTAAGCTAATAAAGGGTTTCTCAACCCTCTCACATGAAGAGAGGTTAAGTCAACTGGGTTTATTTCCGCTGTCATACAGACGACTTAGGGGTGACCTAATACTAGCATACCGTATCCTAAGAAATGATTTTGGAGCAAATTTATCTAATTTATTTCTTCTTTCTAGCACCAACCAATTGCGAGGACATCACCTCAAGGTTCAAAAACCACGGTCGAATCGTCTGCATTTGGAGATCCGTTTTTCGCATCGAATTGTGAACCATTGGAACTCTCTACCGGAACACGTCGTATCAGCGCCATCCGTTGATTCATTCAAGGCGAGATTGGACCTGCTGTGCGTAACAAATCGAAAGGATTAACACAGGCATATAGCCTACTATCCTAAATAAATTGTAAACTGTAAACTGAATTCCACAATCGAATGATTAAAGAGGTAAATGCTAAAGTGGAATGTTTCTGTCTTCTTCATCAGGCCGCATCATATCATCAAAATGAACCAATGCTCTTTTCCAAAGTTATCAGTGATTAATGTAAAAAGAAAAACAGAAGTTGAGTGAGCACTACTGTTACAGAGTATAATTCAATTATAGAATAAATTTTTTTTTTGATAAAATTTCACAATGTTATTGAGTGTGTAATAACACTGTGAAACTATCAAAATAAAGTTACTCTTTGATGGAATCATAAATCATATAAATCGTAACCTATGAGATGGCGGAAAAAGTCTAAGAGAGTTTATTCTGCCTTTCAAGTAATATGAAAGAATAGAGGACGGTACTTTTAATCTAACAATCAGCTTAAGTTTTATTAACCATTTGAAGTATCTAATTCAAAAAACAAAAAAATAACCATCTTAACATCTTTTTAGAGATAATTAAAGTATACTTTATAACTAAATATTAGCAAAGTTCAACGATTTGTTACTTGAAAAGTGTGGAGTTGAACTTTTGCATACGACTATCTGAGATCGCCTTACATTGATGGATCAAAATTCATTTTTCGACTGACACAATTTTTTGATGTGTACTTTGTTATTCTTAATTACAGTGATAATGACTTAAAATGTGCAAAAGCCATTATTATTATTATTATTACTGCGATGTGGAGGAGCGCAAAGAAGCCATCAACAACGTAAAACGAAAGCAGAAAGTGGACGCTGTGAGAGCCGAACTGAGGGTAGAGGAGAAGTACCCCGAATTCGAGATCGGAGATCAAGTCAAATGTAGAGATAGGTGAAACACCGGCGGATACGTGCCAGGAAAGGACCATACACGGTCACCGCGAGACAGGGTCACGTATATACCATCAAAAATGCAAACAGAGAGAAGCGGGTGAACATCAGCGAGCTCCAGAAATGGATAGAGCGAGACAAGCCGACGATGACGCTAGAACCAAGAAGATCAAGCCAACTTCAGTCCAAACAATTTGACGGGGGGACGCGTTTGATGAGAGCTGTCTACTAGCCAGATTGGTAGACAGTAATTCACGTCAATGTTTGCGTTCTCAGTATTGGTCGTGAGAAAATATGAACAAAGACTGATTCAAAAACCGAACACAGCAGACTTTGCGCAGGCGGATACATTTAACATATAGATGATCTGACATTCAAGAAACAGTCACAAAGAGATGAAAGATTAACTTTAAGTGAGAAACAACTAATCAGGTTGCAAGACAGGTTGAAGAGATGTTGAGGGATGACATTATTGAAGAAGCCGATAGCCCGTATAGTTCTCCAGTGCTGTTGGTGAAGAAAAGCAACGGGAAATACAGATTTTGTGTTGATTTCAGACAATTGAACAGTATAACAGAGCTGAGACCGTGTTTAATGCCAACAATAGCAGAAACTTTAGATCACCTACAAAGTGCGAAGCTGTTCACAGTCTTAGATCTGCGATCGGAGTACTGGCAACTGCCTATAGAACGAGAAGATAGAGATAAGACGGCATTCTTTGTGGGACAAAAACAGTATCGTTTCAAACGCATACCTTTTGGATTGGCAGGTGCTCCGTTTACATTTAGACGATAAATGACGTTGCTACTTAAGAATTTGAGGAACGTCGAAGTTTATGGAGATTACCTAGTGATATACAGTACGAGCGAGACTGACCACGTAGAACATGTAGAGGCAGTTCTAAAACGCATCGAAGATTTCGGTCTACGCATCAACAAGGAGAAATCTCAGATTGCCAAGAAGAACGTTACGCTTTTGGGTCATAAGGTGGGAAATGGCTAGATAACACCGCTGCCGGAAAAAATCTTAACAATCAAGTCCATTGAGCCCCCGAATTCGAAAAGGAAATTAAGACAGTTTTTGGGGAGAGCGGCGTTCTACAGTCGATTCGTGAAAA